TTACCGAGAGAAAGAAAGCTCCTGTCCAAGAGAGGGACACGAGGGGGGTCCGGGCAGGTAGTCCCCTTTTCATTTTTTTTTCATGTGTTGCATTATTTAATTCAGGATACCCATTCAATTTTTATAAAGTCTGTTTATTAAAGTCTCTTAGATATAGTTATCAGTTATTTTAAAGCCTGCACGTGACAATTCCATCATTATCTTTCAGTAGATTTGTTTCTATGGTCAGTTTTGGGGGAGAATTTTTTTCCCTTCACCTGGATTTTCAGTTTATAAAGTCTTATGTGTTAGGTGTGCCTGGTAATTTATTTCTGAATACTGAATATTTGCACATGAAAAGGTCTGGAGATAATTTGAGATTTTGTTTTCTCACAAAAATTTATGTTTGTATCTGACAAGCAGTTATAATGTAGAGAAATCACCTGTGATACTATGAAATATATATTTTGGGTCCTTGGTTCCTGTGTTAAGGCCATCCCGAAGGCAGCCCATATAAACTAGATAGAATTTATCTTCCCCAAGGCAGGTCATAGAAATTCATCTTTCCCTTTCTGTTCTAGATTTGGCCATAAAGAAATTCTCTGATCTGGTCTCGAGTGACAGTAGGTCATGACACCCTCTTTATCCCACAGGGGTCCTGCCCCACATTGTGGAGAGAGGAACGTTACACAAAAAGGTCAAGAAGACACTGAACAGGGGGGCCTTGCTGGGCTTCCCCCTCCATCTCCTAGCATTAGATTAGACATCATGATAAATCCCAAAAGAACAGGGCTGAGTCTTCCAGACAGCTGAACGTGTGGAAACTCCCGGAGGCAACACTCCTAGGAAGGCATGGGAGCTCCGTGCCCCTTTTCCCCTGTCTTGTCCTGGGCTCCATCCTCTGTGACTTACTTTACGATAAGTCAATAAGTATGTGTCCCTGAGCTCTGTGAGCCTCTCGAGCAAATTAATCAAAGGAAACCCAAGGAAGGGAGTGGGAGGATGCTGGCTTGTAACCCATAGATCTGAAACACAAGTTAAACAACCAGGAACTTGTGGGGAGCATCAGAAGTGGGGGGCCACCTGGAGAACTGAGCCTTCAATCCATCTTGTGCCAAAACTGAATTGCCTTAGTGGGCATCCAGCTGGTGTCACCTGCAGAACTGATGGGCTGCTGGCTGATACGGAGAAATCCTCAGGCTCTGAAGTCACAGAAGTCTATGCTGACTTGGGGCTGTGAGAACGGAGGACAAGAGGTTTCCCTTTCCCAACACATCACCTCTATCCAGTCCAAGTATGAGCCGATGAAAAGTCATGTTTCGGTTCTCATGAGAGATTTCTTTTACGTTTGCCCTGTGTCCTCCATGTGACCAGCCCCTTGGGGATTCTGCTGAGGCTCAGGGTAATACCCAGAGGCTCTACTCCCCGGAAGCCCCTCAACTCCAAGTTCTAGCCCTCTAGCCCAACGGAAGTGAACCTACAGCCGGCTGTGATCACTGAAAGCTCTAAAAGGCTCGCCACTGCTGCCCCATGACACTGCTGTCAACGGGTTCAGCTTTGCCCTTTGCTTACTGGCTAGCAAAGGCCTTGTGAGGAGAGAACAACAGACATCATCAGCCTTTGCTGCCGGAACCTGTTTTTGCCTGTAACTTTATTCTATCTGAAATCTTAGGATCCTTAAATCTCATTTCATCGGTTACCCAAAGCCTTCAACAAATACTTGCCCTGTTTCATCAAGCTTTCCAATGTTCACCACCAGAGGGCAGACCTGACATGAGCAAGTCCACCATGGTCAGGAGAAGTCCAAGTGACGCGTTCTCAGGGGATAAACCTGAACCTAGTTAAGCATTTCCCAATGTGTCCCAATGACTATCATGACAGCTGCAAAACATGAGTCCCATATACTTCTAAGAAAATATCTCAATGAACTAAGAGGATAATACAATATTAAAATTACATGAGAGTCTCAGTATATAATCAATTTTTTCAGGACTTGCAGGAGCTGCCTTAATATCCACACTGACCTCACAAAGACAAAATTCTTTGAGAGCAGGCAGTGTGCTATACACACTCAGGGTCCCCTGCATCACTAAAAACGACGCAGTTACTCTCAAGGCTTGTCAAGCTCCCCTAAAAATGGCTGATACCTACAATAAAGTAATACATACGAAAGCCTTCAGCAAAGGTCTTCCTAGTGAATTAACTCATGCAATTAAGTGGGTCTTACTTGGAATCCACATTCGCAAAGTGAGAAGCTAGAAACAGGTTCTGTGATATTTTTTTCCCAAGTGTTCAGCCATATTGAGGACATGAGGGGCTGCTGGGAGCCCTGGATCTCTGGAGATAAGGCCTGGTATGTGCCTGGATGACCAGGCTCCTAGCAGGTGGTCACGGATGGGATCTCTGAAACTGGGGTCTACTTGAAGGTGTGACTCTCAGCACCACCCCACGCAAAGCCCTTGGGGCCAAACATGGCAGAGCAGCAGGGGCGGCTGCAGGAAGGCATGCCTTCGTGCTCAGAGTGACCCCCAGAGGTCAGCGTCTTTCCACACTTCTCACACCTTAGGCAGGACCGATGTCAGTCCTTGCCCACTGAGGTCACCCGCTCCACAAAGTACACCTCCTTCTCGCACGTGGGGCACTTGGGCATGGCAGCGCGTACAGGACAGTGACTAGAGCAGCCCTTGAGGTGGCTGTGGGAGTGGGGACCAGGCTCCATGATGTTTAAGCTTAATTAGCAACTTAACTGCACCAGAAGCCAGCAGGGGATTACTAAAGCACCCTCTGGGTATGTCTGGGTAGGTCATGGAGGCCTGACTTTGGAGCCAAGTCTGGATCCCCATGCCCTTCCTCTAGGGCTCCATTTCTGCACTGCTTCCCAGCCATGAGCAAAGCAGCCTCCACCACAACGTGCCTGCCTTGGAGCCAGTCACCCATGGACCGTGAGCTCTGAAGCTGACGGAATGACCGCTCCTCCTGTAAGCAGTGGGGCTCAGCAACGGGCAAGGTGCCTGAGACAGGCTGGACTGCAATTTAAATTCCAAGTGTAACACAAACCATTCATTCACACATGTCTCTAGAACGACTACACCTCTAACTCCAGCCTTTTGTTGTGTGCAGCGTCAGATGTGTAACTGAGATGGTCGCTGGTCACAGGCCCGACCCAGCCACCAATCCACATGACCTCAAGGCAGCCACAGATGACTGAAAGCAGGATGAGCCCTGGGCTGGGGTGGCTCACTACAGGCTGACCAAGGGCCAAGGGCAGGACCTGAACAGGAAAGATCAGCCAATTACCGGGTTCTCTTGGTCTCTAAAACTGACACACCAGCTTTGAGAGACTAAGTGAAAGGTGGGCAAAAAGGTACAAAGTCGGACGGAAAGGAGAAGCTGGAAAAGAGAGTCAGGCCACGGTCATGACAAAGCCACGGCCACTGCACACCAGAAGCCCTGAGGCACAGAGGGGGACATGGGAGGGAGTGGTAGGGAGAAGGACTTAGCTGGCGGGATGCAACAGCAGCTGGGGCAGAGCAGCGAGCCCCCTGTGTGGTGGATGAGCCCACAGCGCAAACCCCAAGTGCCTGCCACAGGGCTCCACCAGCTTCTGTGGCTCCCCAGTTTGTCTCAGACCCTGGGACTTGTCCCTGTGTTTAGCTTCTCTGGCATTTGAGCTGTGTTTGCCCATTTCCTAATTTCCATGCGATCGAATTTCCCCAACGGCCTTGAACACAGCCTTCAATAAACTTTAGGGAAAAGGCGATGGTGCCCCCAAACCTTGAACAGAAGTAACAGCACAACACAACTCTTCAAGGCCATCCAATCAAGGACCTGATTCACAAAGCAGGACAGATAAATCTTATCAAATTCAATTTAAGACATAGGACACCCTTTAAGGGCAAGAGCACAGACGCTGACAAGGAGAATCAGCAAGTGACCACCACAGCAGACAAGAAGCCCTTACCTGGGTGACATTGTCCTCATCGGCGCTGTTGTAGCGCCTCACATCAGCAGAACAGCGGCTGCCGTGCTCCAGGGCCTGGCGCTGCTCCACCGGGGCACTGAAGCTGTTGGGATAGTAGTTGGGAGCACCACCTTGAGAGGAAACCACACAATCAGTCAGGAGTCTAAGAGGAAGCAGGTCAGCACACAGCCCACTCGGGAAGAAGTGAAGGCAAAAGGCAAATACACACGTGCGCAGGTAAGCGTGCCACACGCGTGCGATTTTGCACTCTCATATTTACCTACAGGTAGTTTGAAGTCTTAGAGGATTTCCTTTTCTTTCTGATATTGGGGATTAAACTCAAGGAGTATTGAGCTATATCCTGTTTGTACTGTTTTGTTTTTTGAGGTAAGGGCTTGCTCTGTCACCCAGCCTGGCCTCAACCATGCAAGCCTCCTGTCTCAGCCTCGGGAGTGGCTGGATCACAGGTGGGTCGCGCCACCACGCCTGGCTAGAAAGCTCCATCTCTAACTGCTCACACAGACAGTCTCAGTTGGAGCTGGAGCACAGAGCTCTCCTTGTTCGTTTCCACACCGCAAAGGCTCTCTCGGGTATGCTTGCCTGCACGAAGATGTGTGGTGGAGGTCTTGTTTTTGCCACCATTGCGACCAGACCCAGTGACACAGTTCAAATTTGAGAGGAGCTCTGGGACTCGGGTGCCATTCAAACACCGACTCACAGGTTCTTGGGAACAGCATGGAAATTCCGGTCCCATTCCTCAATTTATACAGCAAAAATGGAGCTCTGAGACATTCGCCAGCTGCCACAAAGAGCCTCACCCAGGAGGCAGGGCCAGACGTGGATGAAAACTGGCTATTCTGTCTCTTCCCACCCGCATACACTATTTCCATTACAGCATTCAATTGTATTATTCTCACCCATGTTTTTAAAGTTTTTTTAAAAAGTTTTCAGAGTATCCTTTACTGATAGTGATAATTTTGTACGACTCTAGCTTCACTTCCACCTTCCTCCACAGACAACAAAATAGGAATATTTTGAAATTTTTTATATTTATAGTATGTAAGCAATTATTTATATAGACTTACAGAAAGAAATTGTAACCAATATAATCAAAACTTTTTCTGTGACTTCCAGAATAAAATAAATGGAGGCACCATTTTGTTTTATTTTTCACTGTGGCCTATTCATTGGCCAGGCTATCCTCCGCCCTGGCTGACTTCTCTGTGCCCACACAGCCTACATGGGTGTGGCCTGGAAATGTGGGAAGTGGGGTGATCACCCAGTCTCCAGCTGAATTTCACCTCGCTCGCTCACTCGCTCGCTCGCTGCCAGAACAGACTGGACAGGGGATAATTAGGAGGCGTGGGATCCCTCACCGATCAAGACACCAAGGCTGTGGTAGAAGAAAGCAGGACACCAGACCACTGCAGAGCTCAGTCATTAGCGCAAGACATTTGTCCTAGGTCAGCTACGTCTACATGAAAACCGCAGTGTCCCCACAGCCAGCCACCACAGTGTTCCCTGCGCTGAGCTCTGCGAAATGTGCCTATCTGCATACTTTTTAAATTCCATTTCCAAGTACACCCTGACCTTTACTCAAGCTGTCCGGAAGGCAGTGACTGCCAGGAACAATTAAGCTCTTTATAAAGCTTTCAGGGAGTGGCCCAAATTCTGGACTCTTAAGTGTTGGTAGAATGTGTACAGCCTTCGGTAGCTTTCTCATGAGCACGTCCCTGTAATGTAACCAAGCACGCTTGCTCAGGAAGCAGTGCTCATTACTAAAGCTCACAGTAGGGGGCTGGGGAGATAGCTCAGGGGAATAAGTGCTTGCCTGGAAAGCTCAAGGTCCCAAGTTCAGTCCCTGGTACTGTTATACCCTGTCAAAATTGACCCCATTTTGTTGACCTTCTAACCGCGCTGGGTTCCTGTTCTGTATGCGCCGACCCCTCCCAATTCCTCACCCCTGTGACTCAAGTCTTATGATATCTGTTCCCCAAACCTTATCTCAATGAACTATTCCTCCCAATTCCTCACCCCTGTGACTATTCCTCTCTACTCCCTTCCTGTTTTTGTGGTTTTCAAGCTTAAATACTGACCCTTGTCAATGCTCAGGGTGCACTTAGGCACTTTGTGCCGGGTGTTGCCGCTGGGTACCAGCTAAAATAAAGCGCTTCTTTTAACTTTTGGACTTGCCTTGTTGTCATCTGATTTTTGAGCTACAACAGTACTACCAAAAAAAGATGAACCTTTAGGGGCCAGGGAGATAGCTCAGTAGAATAAGTGCTTGCCTGGCAAGCACAAGGGCCTGAGATCAACCCCCGGTTCCACACCAAAAAAAAAAAAAAAATTAAACCTCAGAATACATGTGACCATCTTTGCTATAGACGCTTTCACCAAAGCATGTTAATAAAAAAGAAGAATGAAAACGCAGGAGACAGACACAGGAAGTATCAGCTACGCAGACAATGACACAGTTTATGTCTCCATAAACTTTAGGCCTCAGAAAAATAGTCACCTACAAATATAAGTGATCAGAACGTGTAGAAATTTGTTAAATGCATGGAAAAGCCTAGTAACAAAAGCAAAGCACAAAATTCCAAACCCAAAATAACCTAACGTGTCTAAAATATATTCACAGAAAAAAATGGTGAGAAAAATAATAAAATGTAATAGCTATGGCCTTTGGATACTGTGAGTGGACTTTTCTTCTTCTACATGATCAACTTTCCTTGAAGGCACATGTATTATTTTATCATAGAAAAGATAACTCTTGTGTTAACATAGACATCTATAGTTCTAAGGATAAATCGCCATTAAAATTCCTGAAGCAGCCTACTGCTAAAGCATGTGTACCCTAAGTAATAAAATCAGATCTATATTAACCCGTGGGGTAACAAAAGAAAAACATCCAGCAAGCATTTTGCTTGGTTATTTAAGATCATTCACACTAGAGTCTGTTTGCATATGGCACCAAAATAAGTAGCTAAAAGAAATAACCATAAATGCAGTGGGGTCTGGTCTCACCAGCTCACTTACATGAAGTCACTTATATTCACTTAGGAAAAGCAGAGAGACAGGAGGGTTCCCAGGCTCCTCTGCCTCCGCTTCTCACCTTCCACTGACCACCCATCCTTTCTAAAGTCCAGCTGAACCTATTCTTCCTTGGCTCAACAGAACTGCAAAAAGAAGCAGAGGATGTGAACTCTTGCCTTCTGTGTTTCCAAAGACCTAAGTTCTGGTGATTTCAGAAATTGTCTATTTTGGACTCCTAAGTCGGCCACACTTGACTTCCCCCTGCAAGAGATCTTTCTCCCTACCTTCAACATCTGGATGGACCACATGTAAAATCTAAGGTGGGCATGCTAGGTAAGATCTATAAAACAGATGTCAGCAGGCAGAGCCCTCAGGGAGCCAAAAGCTTCACCGCTGAGCAAAACACGCTGGTTGCTGGCAGCACCTGTGGCGCACCGTCGCTGTGCAGAGGTTCTGTCACTGTGGGGCCACCCTGGACGCCCTGGCCTGGTTCCCCACCCAGCTGTCCCATGAGCCCCCCGCCCCGCAGGTCAGCCCAGTGTCTTCAGGCCTACCTTGGTTGTCATTCACACACATGGGGCCGTCGCGCTGATAGTTGGCCACTCGAGCACGGTAGGGACAGTTCACAGGTATCTGAAGATAGTTGGGGCCCAGGCGGTGGCGGTGAGTGTCAGGGTAGGAAAACAGGCGGCCCTGGAATGATAAGCAAAACAGACATTGGTGGCCAGGCTACTTCTGAGATAGGACGTGGGCTACTACCATCACTGGAGAATTTAAGGTACATCATTGTCACACTGCCCTGCCTAGCCCCTCTCCAAAGAGCTAAATGTCTGCTTGGGACAGAGCCAGCCTTAATCTTCCAGGCCCTGTGGCCAGCTGTAGCCAACTATAAACTTTGCATGTACTCTAACAACAATGCCTCCTTCTCCCTTAAATGGCAATATCATATTCCATCTTATAGTATCCCCACGCCAAAGAAGTATTAAAGTGAAACATAAATTTTTTACAATCTAACTGACCAGAAGTCTGAATTAATTTTCCCAAAGTGTCACAGAGGGGCAGAATCAACCAACCATCTGCTCTAAAGAAGCACATTTCTAAAAAACTGTGTGGAAATTCTTCAAAGAAATACCTCCCAGGGAGCCTTCTGAATTTCCTCAAGTATGCTTTGAGTTCTGAGACAATCTACACACAAGCAAAATGCAATACAGAAAAAACAAAAAAAAAAGCTTTGTTCAAGCTCAGGTTCAATGATAGCCCTACAGTGCCAAAGGTAATGAGTCTAAGATGGACTGATAGTCCTTATCAATCAAGGAAATATGCAAAGAATTGTGAAATGCCTTCCAGTTAAAAACTTTATGATTTTTTTTAATGTATTTGGTACAGGGTATACAGAGTCTCACTACATAGATCGGACTCATGGTGATTCTCCTGTTTTTAGCCTCCCAAGAGTTGGGATTACAGGTACACACCACCACGCCCAGTCTCAATTGCCATCTCAGCACACCCTCGGGGCTGGGCCAGCACAGCATGCTGGGGATCGAACCCCGGCCACGTGCTCTGCCTAAGCAGGTGCTTTAGTCCGCTGAGCTATCTGGCCAGCCCAAAAGCTTTATGATCGACTCTGCATTATTTTGAATATCCAATTGTTGAAGAATATTCTCCATTACTCAAAGCTCTGTTCTGTGAGCCACTGTCCTTCAATGACTTTATCGCTGGCTTTGAATCTTAGATAGTACTCTGTTACATCCCTACTTCTACAAGGCAAAAAAAAAAAAAAAAAAACCTAGTTGACAAGGGAGCTTTACTCATATCAATGTGCTTAATCCAGTCCCATTATTCTGTCAATAATTTGCCTCTGGCTGAATGACTCTACATCCCATAATCATCCAGAGAGTCTAAGATAGTTTGTAGATGACAACAGGTCATGCAACCATGTCCAGACTCAGCTGCAGGGTAGAGGCGGGTTGCCTCCTTGGTACTCCAACTCTACCAATAGCATAGACGATACAATCCAGCCTTGCCCAGCTCCCGATGTTGTCTCCATTGCACCACTCTGCCATTATGTCACCTTATGTTTATCTCGTAACACCACACCATTTATGGGTGGAGACCCACGAAGGTTGGGCAATGGCCATAGCAAGGCCATACGTGGGCACCACCTTGAATCCAGGCCACCCTCGAAGACCTGGCCCTCAATCCCACTGTTGGCCTGGGGAAGAAAATAGAGCAAGCCTTTGTCCCTCAAGCCACTGGGCCTTCTTCCTCTCCCACTTCCACCGCACAAAGTGAGAGCGAGGGAGGAAGGCCACACTGCCCGCTGGGAGCTCGGGAGACAATCTCACTGTGACCTGCACAACACTATTGGTCTATTCTGCACTGGTTGGGCCCCCACAGTGGACAAAATGTGAAGATGGATGAAGACGGCCTTGTTGACAGGTAAATGAGAATGCTGTCCATCAACATAACAACTGCCACCGCCCACGGTGTGTGCTCAGTAGTGCATTTTAGGAATAGTTGTGGAGTCCTCCTAACTGGCTTCCTCTTCCAGTCCCTACTCCAACCACACGTCCCACATATTCCTGCAGGTCACTCTCCCAAAGCCCTTGCTCAGACCACGGTGCTCCGCACTTACACACCTTACACAGCTCCTCCCTGGTCACTAAAGAGATGCATGAGGGGGGCGGACAGTTCATCCCCACAGTGCGGCTCCTAAAATGCTCCATGAAACAGGATTCACAGCTCTGTAACCTTAGCAGCTCTTGGGGAAAGTAGGCCAGGAACAATGACCTGACAAAAGCCCTTTCAACCACTTTTTAAAATTCATTCAAAAAAAACTATAAAGATACCATACTAAATTATAGATAGATAGATAGATATAGATATATCTTTATAAAAAAACTATA